GATTGTGGGGGGAAAAAGAAGTGGAAAAATAAATTACTAGATGGAAGTTGTACATGTATCCTCTCAGGATGGATCCACCACTTCCAGACTAAAATATCTCTGCAACTGTTGAATTGATAGCTGTGAAATTTTGTACAGACATTGGTGGTCCCTAGAGGGTGAATCACAGCGCTGCTAGCATTCTAGTGGCTCTGTGAGACTGTGCTTAGGCTCAGTGGTGCTTTAAGCTAAATGCTGCTAACATCAGCATGCTCACAGTGACAGTGTTAAGATGCTGACGTTTTGCAGGTCATATTTACCATGGTTACCATCTTATGCCGTGTTTCTACTGCATGGTAAGGCTCAATTGGGCTGTGGAAGTTGTGGATAGTAACTTGTACCTGGTACTTTTTGAAGGATTTGGTCACTAGAATAGTCAATTGGAGCAACCAGAGTTTTATTGTGCTCTGAAGTAGTATTTCCAGAGCTCTACAGTTTTTTTTTTCCAGCAGTCTTTTGTGCTTGGTGCATTCAGCCTTTTTGGAAACTGTTGGTGTGACAGCAGTTTCACACGGTGTCGCTATGACAATCAGCTAAGAGTCTTGCCTACATTGAGGGGATACCATCTGCAGTGGAAGACAAAGAATGAGAAAAGTACCTGGTACCAAACGTGAGTCGAGTAGAATAGAGCCGAGCCGTACCATGCAATGGACACAGCTTTACTTTAGCATGTTAGCAAGCTAAAATTAGTTAACACTGTAAAGCTGAGGCTGATGTAATTTGTTTTGCAGGTATTTGGCAAAACCTGATGATGGCATTAAATTAAATATCGGGGGATTATTCTGAACTAGAAATTTAAACACGCTGGTGGCGCTACAGGAAAAGTTATGGGTTTACCAAAGTCTTTAGGATTCATCTTCTGTGAACCATGAATGTCTGGACAACATTTTATGCCACACTTAATTGATCACCAGAGTTATTACAATCCAACCATGTGAAATGAATGAACCTCCTCGTAGTAATTAGGATTCATCATGTGGTAGCCTTCTGTGTCTGCACCAAACTGTGTGCCAATCCATGTAGAAGATGTTTATCAATTTCACAAGATAAGTAATACATACAATACAATCGGCTTCATCCTCTGGGCACTATGAAGTAATAGTTCAGCTGACCGGCACTGCCATAGCACTAGTCGCCAGTCAAATATGTAGCATAATGATTTCCATAGAATAATAATATAGAATAGTATAAAGCGAATGGAGGATGTATGATTTGCCCTTTGCAGTCTATTCCATTGAATTGTTGAAATTTCTTTCTCCTTACATTTTAGCCCATGGGACAGACTCTAGAATAAACACTATTTAACTTTGCATAAACATGCCTTTCTCTGTTATTTCTACTGAATAGCTTCCCATTCAGTTTTTTCCTGTGTGTTTGTCATTCTTTTTTTTAACTAGTGACCTATGTGGCCTCTGTTAAAGCTCTTACAACGGGTCATCTCTAATAGTTAACCTTGAGTAAAGTCCTCTGCAGATGGAGGTGATGGAAAGTGTTCTTGATGTGAACAAACATCCTGATGGGATTAGTTTAACTTGTCAAACAAGTGACTGGCGCTGTTACATTTGTGTGTTTAGTGTGTGCGAGCACATGGCTGCTTGAAGAGCAGGATAGATTGCGTGTTGATCTCAGTGATGTCCTCCACCTCTTATCAGCTGGCTCATATAAAGGTCGGAGGTCAGTCCGTGGTTTCTGTCAGAAAGGTGAGGTTATGTTGACGCACATTCTCATTGGTTGATCCTCTTCCTACAATAGAGCCGAACCTGTCACTCCCATACACGTGTCATGGACATAATAACAAGAACCAGGGCTCCAGACTAACTTTCTGCACTGGTTGCACTGGTGCGCCTAACTTTTTTTTTTAGGTGCACCAGCACAAAATTTAGGTGCCCCCAAATTTTTCATTGCGTTGCCTTTAACACCATAAGGTCACCTTTTTTATCGCTCTCCATAACTTTTATATAATGTGAATGATTTTTAAACAAGAATAAGGTGTAGAGAAATGCTTGTCTTTATTTGAAGCACAATTATATATAAAAAGAAAAATAAAGTGTTTAAAGTGATTCACTGGGCTGAAATTGAACATTTCAAACTCAAACATTTCAAGTAAAATAATTATTAATGATAATAATAATGATTTCTACTACCTGCCACTGAAATGCAGCTGGGAGAGGGGCCACTTTCTCTACACACTTGTCACAGCATATCGTGTGTTTTTTAGACATGTTATTTTTTTTTTAAGTTTCAATACGAAACGTTGTTGACCCGCTCACGAATGCACTATTTACTCAGCCAGGGAAATTGTTTCAGCCAGTCCTGTCTGAAGGAATATATTTTGGCCTTTTTAATTTGGGTCTCGGAGCCGGGCTCTATCCCAGACTCGGTGGTCTCCTCCTCTGGTTCTGAGTCTGATGCTGTCGCTGAAGGACCGGGGCTCGGCAATTTTTAAACACACACAACTTAGCGCGGTGAACAGGACCACAGCCAATCAGAGGCAAAGACCCGCCCGAGCTCTGTCTCTTATTGGTTTAGAACACGATGTGATCCTACCATGAGTGTGTGAGTTCAGTCACAGGAGAACACAGAGAGATGATGCGCTTGCGAAATAAATGTATGTTTTCACCCGGGCAGCGTCAGGTGCACCAGTGCGACCGAGAAAATTATTAAGTTTTGATCGCACTCTGGAACCGTTTTAGAATATATTCGATGGAGTACTACATCCCTGCAAAAGATACTTAGATCAGTCAGTACAAGGCGTTGTAGGTGTTTTAATTGTGGTCTGTGTTGTTGATGGATTACATTATCTTGTACAGTAAAGTTTTCTGTCATTTTGTCTCTCCTGTAGGGGGTTGAAAGAGTAAATAATTGTATATTAATTTAGGAAGTCTCTTTGGAATATTAATAGGTGTTTTTCTTTGCATTAAATATTCAGTGGGCTTAAATATTGTTTAAAAATGCTGTTAATGATTGAATATGAAAGTTCATTCTTGGTATATAATCTCAACGTCCACTTTTTTTTTTGGGTGCTTTCAACCACATCTCACAGTAGTTGCTCAGTTCATGTGACCTGAGTTTGAGACTTCTGTCATGTCAATGCAGGTAGATATAGGGGGAGATCATAACAAGAAGTTATTCTGGTTGTGATAGGATAAATATTGTTCCCAGCATTTATGCTAAGCTAAGCTAACCGGCTGGTGACAGTAGCTTCATATTTGCCATACAGAGATATCATGTAACTAAGTAAGGAAGAGAATTAGTGTATTCCTTTAAATTAAACTAATACAGGAGACTGTAATGTTAATTTCTACCAAAGAAATGCTGAAAACAAACCATTTTAATTTCAGTTCACACTTTCCATATTGAAGTTAAGATCGGTATTCTTTTCCTGGAAACCTAAATTTGGAAGCTTTGTTTATTAACCTGACGAGTGGAATGGATGCCACTAAAGAGAAGGAAGTAAGCATTGATCGGTTTCACTGTGCTGTGCTGGCCACTCCATTTGTCTTTCCCTCTCTGGGCAGTTTAGAGTAATTGCTTGCTCAAGGACTTCTGAGGCCTGATTGCCGTAACCCACTGAGGCTCCATTTGTGCTTGTCCTAGTTAAACCTTTCCCTCAGTGATAAAGAGACACGCTTAAGATGTCATTGACATCTTAATACAAATATGAAGACTGTTCTTGGATGCTTTGAAAATAAGACTTGAATGTTGCCTGGCATTTGCAGACTCTTTGTAATGGTGGATTTCTGGTGTTTACATTATTAATACCTCTCTTTGGGGATCTTACCCTTCCAGCCTATTATGTGTAACCTGAGTATATTTCTTGAAAGCATCAATTTTGCATCTAATGCTCACAACATTCTCACATTCAGACTCTCCGGCTCTGTATGAAGCACATCAGTGTGCTGCCACAGTGTTGTGAGGAAGCTGTGAGCTGCAGTGCAATAAAACACTCCTGATCATCCCTCAGTCTGTACTAGCCTGCACCAAAGCAGCTAACATTAGCTGAAACAGCATCTGAGCACTGACTCAGTGATGTACCGGTGTTCTCCAAAAATAAACACACACGTTTGTGCACCCATAAACTCGTGCACTCTGACACACGTGCATGCACACATACACACAACCACACTGATGTCCTCCATTATTTACACCCAGGTGTATCTGCATGCAAACGGCCCATTTCGAGACAATCTGATCACACAGCGGAGGCTTCGCCCGGTCTGTTCCTTCGCTCGGTGAGAATATCGCCGGGGCGGAATGGAAACTTCATTTTGCAGGGGCTAATATTAGCCTGGGCCTCTGGAAAATTCCTTTTAAATGATCACAAGCTGAGAAAAGGCAAAGAATTTGTTTAGCGTTTTGCTTGACAGTATTCTCTGCATACACGGCAGTTTGTTTCTTCTTTTTTTCAGATGGTACGACTCACAGGAGGGTCCTGGGAACACAGATGTGGAGGGAGGGAGGGCTAAGGGGACTCCTGATGAAATTTAGGAGTGTTGGACTGTCAGTCTGTCTGTCTCTCTGGCTGTTTGAGTCTCTGCTGACACTGTTAACACTTCATCTGCCATGTCCTGCATCCCCGGTTGTTTAACTGATATGGAGAGTAGTTACTCCTTCATATCACTTTGTGTTACCTGCTCTGTGTGTGATTTGGATTGCCAGACTGTTGTAATACATACTGCATTCTGACTGCTATGACAGTACCACACTGTCTGACATGAGTGATTTATTGTTCCTATTTCACAGTATAAAATACCATGTTAAAAGTATTCTGTCTGTGATACATGTTAACTTTATATACTATAAAAATGTATCAAAATGGAAATAGTCCTTTCTGTCCCCGCCTGTTTGTTCCCTTGTACCCCCGTCACTGCCTGACCTATATTTACTTCTCTTTATCATTATATGACCCTAACTTTATAACCCATGTTTGTGTGTCTGTGTGTGCATGTATGTTTTGCTAGGAAAGTCCCACCTGGCCATAGTTCAGAGGGTGAACAATGAGGGCGAGGGAGACCCTTTCTACGAGGTTCTGGGTATTGTCACCCTGGAGGACGTTATTGAAGAAATCATCAAGTCAGAGATCCTGGACGAGACAGACTTGTACAGTAGGTTCTCCTCTCAAAGCTCATACCTCTATAAGACTGCAAGGCATCTCCAGCCTGTCACAGTACAGTCACAATAAGCACACCAGTCTAAAATCCACAACATATAAATTGATCCCAACCCAGCGGTTGGGCTGTATTTAATAGCTCTGTTAGACTGTGACCACTGAAACCAACCTAATGTAGGTCTAACTATATATTACTTTTTCGTGAATTTGCAGATGCTCTGAAATAATCACTAGTGCTGTTTGGCCATTAACAAATGGTTTATGGTATCTAGGTGTGTAACAGTATGTTTAGGTACAATTTATCATGATATGAATATATGAGAAAAGACATTTTGGAGCTGGAAATGTATTTACCTTTTAACTAAATCTGATCAGTTGTTAATGCTTAATCTCTGTATGTTGTTGTTTGCATATATTAAATGCAAATTAAAGTCCATAATTAAAGCTGCACTAATCACTATTTTTCTATTAACAAAAGATCAAATGCACGTAATGTGAAAAGTGTAGCTTGGAGTGATGAACCCACAGAGAATAATCACCTGACCCCTGTCCTGAGCTGTGTGGAGTGTTTTAGCTTCTTTCAGGATATTGTTTTGGTTCTCTTGCCCTCAGATTCTGCCTCAATCAACACCGTTTCCAGATGCAGCAGGCAGCTTTCAGTGAGAAAGCTCTGATAAACTGACTGTACACTACCTGCTCAGCACCAAACAGCAGCCAAAGTTAGTGGCTAGCTGGTGAACATAGTGGAGCATTTAGCAAATTAGCTGTAGGTGTAAACAAGAAACTGATTGCTAACACATTAACCATAACAACTTAAAATATATAAGTCAGTGTTGCATTTAGCGCTTGTTCCATTGTCCCAAGTGGAAAAGAAAGCAATCAATAAATAATGCTTTAGTTTTTAGTGCTCTATTAACATTGAACTGTCAGTTTGGAGTTTGTGTCCACTTGACAAATGTAATCCAATAGTATCTCTCTGTAGCTCTGGTTAGCTCTCCTGGGAAAATATGTGCCTCCTCAGGTGAACTTAATGTTCACCAGCTAGTCACTAAATTTGCCTGTAGGCCGTTGGAGGCTGAGCAGGTAGCGTACAGTTGGCTTTTATAGATTTGTCACTGAAATCACTGAACAAAGACAGTAAAGTTGCAGATGGGAAAACCAAAACAATGAGCTGAAAGAGGCTAAAATGTGGAAGAGACCAGGGGAATGTTGGGTTGATTACAAGGAGATCATTGTTTATGCAAAAAATAAAAATGTCTAAAAAAATCAGTTTATGTGACAATGTTTTAGTTAAGGTTTAAAGAATATGAAATACTACTTGATGTGTCTTTGTAGATAAATAACTGCTTTATATTTGTCATTTAAGAGGTTATCTTATTTGTCTTGTGCACCAAAACCTACAACATAATACTATTTAAAAAACAATGTTGTTAGTTTTTGTTTACATTTTACACCCAGGGAGGAATGAGTCATTTTCTACTGTCAGAATGTGTTTTACTTCTCAAAAGTTTCTTCCCTGGTAGACTGTAAACCCTGTTTCATGTATCATACCAAACCATGAGCTGACTGTACTGTTACTCCTCTAATGGCATCCTTACAGGCCTGCAGACATGGAGTACATGCCAGTCTATTTGTTGCCCTAATACATATGGCTTCAAGTAATGCTAAGAATGTGGTAAGCTAACAGTGTAGCCCCCTATAGCTCTCTTTTAGTTCTGAGAAGAACGCCACAGCTACATTTCCGGAAAAAGCAATAAGCTTTGGGTAACTCAAGTTTAGTCACCCTACGACCCGGGAGGACTCGCTCAATATCTGCGGAGTGGCGTGGATCGTCTTTTTCCTGTTGCACAAAAAGTTTTCGTTTGTGTCTTACGCTCAACTTTCATTTTCCCTCCTCAGCTGACAACAAGACAAAGAAGAAAATCACCCATCGGGAAAGGAAGCAGGATTTCTCGGCCTTCAAGCCTACCGACAATGAAATGAAGGTTAAAATATCACCTCAGCTTCTGCTGGCTACCCTGCGTTTCCTAGCAACAGGCAAGTGGGCTGCGTTGCTGCTTGACTTCCCCCAGTGTGCCCTCAGCCCCTCACTGTGGGGAAAGTGTGTGTGTGAGTTGTTTGTGTGTGTGCATGTGCCCGTATGGGCTTTGAGTTTTGGGCAAGTGGTTGTAGGGAGGAGTGAGTATGTGTGTAGAATGAGTATCTGCTGTTTGTGTGTGAGGGAATGAGTTGTGTGAGGACTCACAACAAGGGTGTTGGTTTGCGTGTGTGTGTGTGTGTGTGTGTGGTTTTTTTTTGTGAAGAGGTGGAAGGCCTCTCGGGAGCGCGGCACGGGATGTCTGTGCAGACTGCGCGCAGATCCCAAAAAAAAACGCAGGCGTCTATTTGCTTGCGTGTCATGCACTGAAGGTTACATGTTGGGATCTTAGCTCACAGCTTTAAAAACACCACCCTGTTTGCTTACTCTCGTTCCTCAGTGACATCACGTCCAGCATTTTTGGCCTATGATCGGGGTTCTCACACAAGTCGACATACTTAGTGTAAAATGTGAAATATTTCACCCACTTTCCCTTGGGAAATGGATTTCTGAACAGGCTGCAGAATATCCAAGTGCTACTACAGCAGCAGCAGCAGCAGTAGTAGTTGACTATAGCCTCATTGCAGATGGATTTGCTTTAGAACTTTGACCTAGCAGCTAAGCGTTGATTAAGTTCCTCTAAAGGCTATTAGGGAGTTTAGTTCCTGGTGGTGGAGCCAGCAGCCAGCTGACACATATCACCGCCGCTGAGGTGAAGGAGCTGATTGGCCCATTAGGTGGTTGAGGCAGACCAGTTACAATCTGGATACAGTGTTTAAAAGTTACAAAGGACTTTTTGGTCAGGTTTGTATGTTAGTTCACTCAGACAAATGCAGTAACAGCTTAAAACTAGGTCTGCAACTAAATATTGGATCAAGTCAAGTCAAGTGTATATCCTGAAATCACAAATACACAGATATTTATTACAATCATTACAACATAAAAAAAAACATCTTTCCTTAGAATTTGGGTAAGGAAAATAAACTTTAATGGATATTTAAACCTTAGGAAGAGCAACAGAGGAGGAATCTCTTTTTCAGAACAGACTGACTTGTAATAGGAGTCATATATACAGACATACGTACTAACAATAGTGAAAATTACAATGCGGAGAGACATTTTGGACCTCATGCAAGAACATTTTCATATTCTTATTCTAAGCCTTAGGTTTGCTCATATGAGGTTTCCCTGGTCGACTCACCAAACTCTCTTAACTGCACAAAGTAAATTACTTGTTTCAATCCGATGAATTTTGTCAGTGATCGTGAGATTTCATCATTGACGAAATCAATGCCCCTAAAATTTCCATATAAAACTAAGTGTTTCACTGTGTTTGTGGGCAAGTTTCATTCCCAAAAAAGAGGAATTTTACACTGCCAAGCTTCAAGTGCACAAGTGTAGCAGTGTCTGTAGCAGTATTGGAAGACCTGAAACAGTATTGAAACAATATTAATATTAGGTTACAGCTGTCAGCTGTGTATCATTAGCAGTAACAGTAATAAAGAGTAAATGGTTCGACATCAAGTTAGATCCTATTAAACGTCTTTCTAAAGCAAAGTGGTCCGTGGCTTAGATGAGAGTCAGTGACAGTCACTAACATACTAGACGGGGGAAGCTGCAGTTGCCATGCCAAAGTATGCCAATCAGATCAGAAAAAGGAAGGAAAGAAAAAATCTCCCACTAATTTAACAAACCCTGATGGTGGCCTAATGTGGTGAACAGAATATTGATTTTGCATAGGTTAATTCTGGTTATTTATTTTTATTCTAGTTGATTTGTGTAACACATTTAAACTTTGCAGGCATTCAGATTAAGACATTATAATTCTGAAGTCAAATGAGTGTGTTTTCCACAAATCTGTACATGACTTACACGACAGATCTGAACAAGATCTTGAGAATTGTGTTTGGCAAAAGAGGAAATTCTAGTATGAGAAAATAAGTGAATGCTCATTTGGCCTCTTAGGAACAAATCTGTTTTGTTGATTAGATATTAAGTTCATAAAGTTACAGAAATGAGTGAAAAATGTCCAACAAAATTATAGTGTAAGCACAGGTGACACCTTTAATGTCTAACCAACACTCCAGAAATTAAAAATATGTCATTTATAATCATAAAAAATGACTACTGGCTAATATATCACTGTATTTATCAGCCCTAAAATCTAGTATGGGTTGGGCTGTAATTAATGTCTCCCTCTCTGTCCCTGTGTGTTTCTTCAGAGGTCGAGCCATTTGCACCGGTACAAATGTCAGAAAAGATTCTGCTGCGCTTGTTGAAGCACCCCAACGTCATCCAGGAGCTGAAATACGATGAGAAAAACAAGCGGGCGGCAGAGCACTACCTCTTCCACAGGAACAAGCCCGTGGATTATTTCATCCTCATACTGCAGGTGTGTGGACACAGTGAGGTGCAGAGTGACATATCGAGAGGTTTGCTCCAAAGTAATGACCAACAGCGGACCCCTGTCTGCACTCTGCTAGTGACATTTAAAAAATGTAAATTTCTGTCACTTATTAAAGGACAACAGTATTTGTACCCTAACCAGACTACACTACACAATACATTACGCTAAACACATTTAAGACAGAGACATGCTGCTGTTAGTACTACAAGCTATTGTTTTCCTCTGTCCTACAGTTTTTCACAGTACAGTCATCCATCTAACGCAGCTGTACTGCAGGTTTGTTCCCACAGGGGCCACGCATCCTAAAAAGGTATGCATGGTATGATTGCACTGCAGGGCACTTTGGATTAAAGCAAACAACAATACCACAGATAAACAGCTCATTAGTAATATACATATCTGGCCCAAGAGATACAACACTTCAAAATATAATTAAAAATGTGGTCAGTATAAAGGAAATTCTGTACTGTGATTGAACACTTTTGCCAGTTTTAATACATATAAACCACAGATAGAATCAGTGAAATATAATGTATGTATTTCACTGTTTTCAAGCCATAAATAAACCAGATGTCCTGCCACTGTACTGTACTTCAAAATGTAAAGACAGTAGTATATCAGTAGTGGTACTGTATACCCATCCCTCTGCTTTCCTCCCTGCCACCCTCTCTTTGCAGACAAAAATCCTGCTATAGAGTTACAATTATTTATTCAAAAGCGGATGAAAACAAGTGCTGCTGACCTTCAAGTCTGACCGTCTGCTCTGTCTCTGAATACGTTGCTGGTGTCAACATAGAGTCCTCCTCTTTGGTGTTAGGGAGAGTATCAGGTCTTTAAACGACCCGAGGTCAAGGGAAGTCCCAACCTGGATGTAATCAAAAACAGGATAATGCACATGTAAACACTCATAGATAGAGTTAAAATCAGTATTTGGAGTGCACACGTGTGGGGTCACTGCCCTTGAGACCAGGTTTTAGGAGCAGATTGGGAGCTATTAAACAGAGTACGGATTTTCTACATGTAGTAAAAAGGAATGGAAAGAGGGTGGGGTGTTTGGGGGGAGGGATTTGTTCTAAACTCACGGGCAGGATGAATAAATATATTTGAGCAGGAAAGTGGCAGATTTTGAATAGGGTGAAAGTGTAACTGCAAAGCTGTAGCGGAAATCCAAGCTAGAAATGGTAACTGACACAATGAAGCACTAATGCTCCATACAGAAATACAGTGCAATTTATAATGAATTAGAAAGGGTTAGTGTTAGTGTCATAACATATGTACAGTCTGAAAGGAAATTACAGTATGTTTGAGTAACACTTTGTTCCTTGTCATCTGTGGATGTTGCCATCACAGGGGAAAGTTGAGGTGGAGGCAGGAAAAGAGGGGATGAAGTTTGAAGCGGGGCCGTTCTCCTTCTATGGGATGATGGCTCTCACAGCCTCGCCAGGTAAGATCTCTGACAGCTGGTGTTTGACCAAAGTAAAATGATTCATTGGAGTGTTTCACCAAAGATTTGTCCCTTTTGATGTTCAGAAAATCCCCAGCTAATTTAAACATTTCTTATTCTTGAGTAAACCATACAAATGCAGTTTTGTGTGCAGGTGATCTAGGCCATTCATGTTGACATCTGCTGTCGCTTATTTCCACTAAAAATAAGTCACAAATAAGACACAAAGCTTACCTGCTTTTTTTATTCTGACTGAAATGCATCCATAGCACCAAGTACCGAAAGCTGGCTTTGAACGCTCAGATTCAGACTCCTTTTTATTCCTTCTTTGCTCAGACAATTTGGATTAAATCCTAATATTAGACTGTAAACTTCAACCTTTGAGGACTGTGTTCAATGGAAAAAGAAAAAAGTATTGTTTTGGTATCTTATCAACACTAGTATTCCCCCAGTCACAAACACTCTCATTGTACTTTATATTTATCACATATTTCTTTGCTCTAACTTCAAGACCATTACTCATTGCTTGATGTAAGATTTTAGCAGCAATATACAAGTTCACATCACTAGCAATGTTATGGTGAAAACAAATGTGAAACCAGTGTCAACTCCGCATCCTAAATCCTTTTAAATGGTCCACATCTGCCTCTACATTGTCCTCCCTGTGATTTGTGTAAGTAACAAAGTACAGATCAGTTTAGGACTTTCTTTGATTGATAGCATAAATTTCCTTGGATGAATGTTTATGAACAATGATTGTAGGACTGACGAGGCCGTCCTGCAGTGACATCATGAGAAAGCGTCACCTACTGATCCGCTCAGTCCTCTCAGTTCATTCATAAACTACAGTACTATTCTCAGCCCTTTTTCAACCATTATGATTCACATGGGTGGTGGGATCTGAGAGACACCTACTGGTGAATCAGCAGAATGACCGTTCTGGCCTATGTGTAGGCACTCAGCAGTGACAAATCAGATACTTTATGAGTGGACATGATGGTGTACCAGTAGTGCATTTTCTCTGACTTCATGTTATGCTGCTCAGTAACAGTGAAGGTGATTGGCAGTTCCTTCCTGTTGGGGTTATACAAGTGTTGCTTAAGCTTCCCTTGTAGGTTTAATCCATGTTTACTATTTGTGTATATGCATTGATTATTTCTCCACTTTGACAGACTCTCTTCTTTCTTTTCTTCCCCTCTTGTATTCTCCCTCTCTCCCCCAAGTGCCCCTCTCCCTGTCTCGTACATTTGTGGTCAGTAGGGCTGAATCACTAGCAGGATCTCCAGGTACAGTGGCCTGTTCTGTCAATACACACACACACACACACACACACACACACACACACACACACACACACACACACACACACACACACACACACACACACACACACACACTTCACATCTGATACCACACTAATATCATCCTGTTAACTAGGCCATTTTGATCTTCATCATCTGCATGAGTGGGTTTTTTTTGTTTTGTTTTGAGTGACTTTGTGACTGATGGGTGCATGCCTGAAAGTCCCTTTGTCCGTGAATGCACCATGTACTGTATATTCATGCATGTGTAAGTGAAAGAGAAAGACACAGAGAGGAAAAACAGATTCAGACTGAGACTTAATACCCTCATCCCCCTGAGCCATTAGTCAAGTGGCTGAATGGTGTTGGAGACTGGAGGCCCCAGAGTGGACCCAGGCTCCGCCCCACTCGCCCCTAACCTTTAACCCTCTGACTACATAAACAAGACCTACAGCTACAGCCCCCTGCCGGACACCACTGAGCGCACATACAAAGACACATGTTCACATGCACATTGCACACGTACACAGAGCACACACACTCCACACACACAACTACAAACATGCTGCCACAAACACAAACACACCCACATGTATACGGAAATACAGTTAAACAAATACACTCTCTTTCTCCCTTTAGCTATGACCTACAGTGCACCTCTTGACATGTTTTTTTCACCCACTTTGGTGCCCCACTGCGCACATGTTTGAGTGTGTGTCTACATAAATGCATTATGTGTGTATTCTTGACACACACCGCCGTTTTCTATATTGACCTGGCCCCTACGGCCCCTAGAAAGTGGAGTACTAATCCACAAGGGTTCACATGCCAGGTCTTTGGCCCACTGCGCTTGGTCCGCACACAAGCACGCACGCACGCACACACACGCACACAAACTCACACACATATTCCTACATGGGATTACATACATTCCAGTCTGCGTAGTAGCATTAGCGTTGGCCAAGCCGTTTCCACTTTGTTGTGTGTGATTTTCACTAGGCTTCTTTAAGAAGTGGAAAACATAATCTGGCTTTAATTAAAAATTTTAAAAGAAATAACAAAAAAAAACCCAGAACAAGTCTTCTATGTGGTAGCACATAGGAGGAAGCAGCATCACTGGAGACCACTGACTCAATACCTGTTGTATGAAACTCCCCTCACCTAAAGACTTATGTAGAAATTAGATTTCCATACATCACAGCAAGCGTCTGTGCTAATATCTAACACTTGACCTGAAAAAAATGTCACCAATACACAGGATCCCAAATGCTGATGAAGCTGTTGAGCAGCTCAAGTAGTTTGAGAGAACATTGTGGGTTAGAGCAAACACACTGCAAGAGTGTTTTCCTCTCTAGCTATCAAAAGCTGCAATATATGTGTATGTAGAGAGCACCTAACTGGACAGAACAACAATACTGATCAATAGCAACTGTCATACAGACGTAAAGGTGTATTAGATTAACGCAATAAGGATTGATTGTTTATTAACAAGTGTACCGACAAGCTATAGCGTCTCTTGTTAGGCTGCACAAATGTTTACCATGTTCACAGTCTTAGTTTAGTATGTTAGTATGCTAGCATTAGCTTTTTAGCACTAATATCAAAGTACAGCTGAACCTGATTTGAACCTCATGGTGGAGCTAGAGTAAAAGACAGAGGATCAAATCCAGTGCAATTTATTACATGGTAACCACCAATGTCTGTACACAGTTCGTTGTGTCAATCAAATACATGTCGAGATATTTCACACTATAAATGAAAACTTTGTCCTGCTGTTAGTGCTGGTCAGGGGATCAAATGTGTGAAAGAAACATTATATAACTCTTATGTAATATACTGTATGTTGCTCTTTATCTAGACTTGGTCTTTCATGTGTTTTTGGGGAGTTGAAATGTATTCTTTCACATCACCTCCTTACAGAAAATAAATCTCCTCCACGGCCGTTTGGACTCAACCACTCAGACTCTCTGAACAGGAGTGATCGCATTGACGCCATCACCCCGACTCTCGGCAGCAGCAACAACCAGCTCAACTCCTTCCTGCAGATCTACGTACCTGACTACTCTGTCAGAGCCCGTTCAGACCTGCAGTTTATAAAGGTGAGCAAGAAAGGCACACTGAGGCTCACATGTGCGTAAATAACATTAGTGTTCTGACCAGTATGCATGTTTAATACAGATATATGGATGCTGCTATAGAAGCTGCTGGTTACTGAGCTCCTGAAGACTCTAGCATAGGGTTATTAGGCAATTGATTATTAGTATCTCAATACTGTGGCCAAAAGAACTCAATTTATGCTGATTTGAGATTTTTATATTAAAATAAAACTGTTTTACCAGTTTGTATCTTGTTTTAACCAGATGGTTCCTCATGTAGACACCCATTACACCCACTGACTAAATTGTGTGACACTCTGAAGCCTGTTGATGTAATACATGTTACATATGTATCACATAAACCAACCTGCAGACACACAAATACACACATGGACAAATTAACCCAAATTGAATAAGGTTATAAAGAAGGCTTATGATAAAAATATGTTTTCAGAAGCACTATAAAGGAATTTATAAAAACGCCTTTTGAGCTCTAAAAACCCAATCAAAGTGACATTTGACCTCATCATGACACCATCTTCTCTGTTCCCTAGGTAACACGCCAACAGTACCAGAACGCCGTAATGGCATCACGGATGGACAAAACGCCCCAATCGACAGACAGTGAGTTCACTAAGATCGAGCTCACGCTGACGGAGCTCCATGACGGAGTGGAGACCCCCGCCGTCGTCACCACTACAGCGAGCACCACTAGCACCACCCCCGCCGTGTCTGTAGTCGTGGCCAATGAGACGTCCCACCTGCTCAACCAGCAGCAGAACTGTGTGGGCCTCAGCAGGAGCAACCACAGCGCCCACAACGAGGGACCCATCTAGTCCCCGCCGAGCTCGGTGGAGACCCAGAACCTCCACCCTGTCTCGTGGGCACACACGGTGGCGTAGATGGAGGTGAGGGAAAGTGGGGAAGCGGAGGCGGGTGGAGTGACGGTTGTGCTCCAACCAGTAGCCCCCAGTCAGTCAGTCAGTCAGTGAGTCAGTGAGACCCTTTCATGGAGGGGCAGTGGGGAAGACGGGTGCTGTGTCACCCTGAACACCCCCACCTGAACGCTGTCAGAATCCCTGCTGTACTACACCCTCTTACAGAGGGTACACTCGGACAGTACCTGTGACTGAGCTTCTTTTTGGGACAATCTGACACTTTCATAGCGGTGACTTGGACTAGAGGATAACAGAGTGCATGCAAACCCTGGCCATCCTTCCCCCCCCCACACAAACACACAAACACAAACACACACACACACACACACACACAGCATAACAAAACACTCGCTGTATTTTGTCCTCAGGCCAAAGACTTTGGTCCCCCCTTCTTACACTGGACACAGACTGTTTTTGCACACACACATATATATTCACAGTCACACCCCCCCCCCACACACACACACAAAAATGCAACTCCCTTACCCGTGCATCTTTCAGGGAGGCTCAGTCAACTGTTGATCCAATCAGCGAAGACTCAAACCCAAACAAGCAGAGAGCAACGGTTGGTCAAAGACTGCCCCAAAAACCGCTTTGAAAGAAACAGTTCAACCACGAACCAAGAATGTTTTCCTGTATTTATTTATTTTATAATATTGTATATATATATGTATGCGTGGAGACATGATATGACATAAACTGGCATACGAGCATGCACGAGCATGTACACAAAGGTGTGCGTGGGGCACACATGTCATATCAAAAAGGACATGCTACATATAGAGACGAACATCCATTCATGTATATGAGGAGGTGAGGGTCTTTTACAGATACAGTATGTATATTACAGATCTTGTTATTTTTACTATTATCCTAAATCAGGCTTATGGTACACTATCTTTTTCACCTTTAAAAAAATCACACTATTGCCTTTAAGAGAAATCATATAATTAATTATTTTAACAAAGTGCAATGAACCACAATTTATTTAAGAAATGATTATGAATAAAAAAAAAATCACTGTATTATAAATTGACAGATATATTTGTATGTATGTACTGTATGTATATGTATATTTGTTTTTGAAAAATGCTACACTGCAGCCATCCACAAGCAAAATTGTCCTTAGTCAGTCTCTCTTTCTCCTTGTCTCTTTCATGTTTTTGCATCCTTTGACCTCAAACACGTCTACTATGTGTTCATATGGGAGTCATGATGCCTAGAGGGGGGGTGGGATGGGGGATGGGTTACTGGGTGTGCGAAAGTGCCAACACCTATGCCTGTGGAGGTTATGTGTCTTTTTTTTTTTTGCCAATTTTACACATAATCAAACTTGATAATTGCACAGTATTAATGACCTCATCTAACATGTTGAGCATCATCAACGTCACAAAAAGTAACCTCGACATTAAACATGTCCATGAATGATACACACCTATGCTTTTCCACTGTTTATGTGTGTGAACAAGTTTTCTTTTTTTCTTTTTTTTTTTTTGCACGTGTGCTATTTGCATGTTTGTGTCTACAGAACATAGCCCGGTGATTCAGTTCATAAAGGCTATTTTTGGACGGCAGTGAATGTGAAAGAGACTTTAGACTTTACTTGTTTTGGCTCCCCACACAACGTAGATTATAATCCATGTTTAATAATTCTTGTGTTAATTCAGATCAAAATCTAAAATATTCTTCACCGATGTTGGCTGCTATTAAAGAGAGATATTTATATTGATTTCATTTTATCTTAGAAACACTGTAGCCATATATGTTTATTTCTTTCACAAGTTCAAGAACACATAATTAAAGAATAGTTTGACATTTTGGGAAATACGCTAATTTGCATTCTTGCTGAGAGTTAGACGAGAAGATCGATGCCACTCTCGTAACCCTGCGCTAAATGTACAGTCTAGAGCCAGCAGCTGGTTAGCTTAGCTTAGCATTAAAAATGGAAATAGCGAACTGGCTCTTGTTGTGATTTTTACGATTGGTTATAACCCGCTATTTCATGGATTTCATAGAGTAATTAGCAAGCTATGTTTTTTTTATCTTCAGCCGGAGCAAAGTTAGTTGTTTCTCCATGTTTTTTTCAGTCAAACAGATTTAATGTCTCCTGGCTCCAGCTTTATATTTCTACATCCATGACAGTGGTGTCAATCTTCTCTTGGCAAGAAAGCAAATCAGTGTAAATGTCAAACTATTCCTCAAAGACTTTTTTTGTTTTGTTTTGTTTATTTGCTTTAGTACCTTCTTGCCCTTATTGTTTTACCTCATAAAGACAGGAATGAGTTTTAAGATACTGTATGTGTGCTTGAAATTTTTCCTATATAAGTCTTCGTGTAGAATTGTTCTGTTTACTTCATATCTGTAGGGGCGTAGATTTTAACTCTTTAACTATGACATTACTTTGATTTCACTTTCAGGCCTGTTCATTAACATTATATGTACTGTATGCTGGCAATTTTCTTGCCACCTTACAGGCAACATCAGTGTCCTAAAGCTGAATGCCTTTTCTTTAATATTCAGTTGCCGTTTGTAACCACTGGTGGTCGCTGTTTCCACATGTGACAGCCTCTGAAAACAGCACACACGGACAAACAGCCCTTCCATCTGTTCAGCCATGAGGGGCGTCTCGGTTGTATAACCAGACACAGAGTACGTCTGCATAGTTTGCAGCTGTGTTCGCTGTTGTTTATTGTTTACTTGAAAATGCTCCTATGCAGCAGGCCCGCTCTGCTCTGCAGGGACAATCACTCCAGAGATAAAGCAATGAATGATGATCAGATTGTAAGATTGTGCTTGTGACATTCGTACTCTGCTTTGCTTTACAAGCCGGTGGATCTCAGTGCCTGACAGGAGAACAAGAAGCAAAAGTCCAAACGCACAACAGGAAACACTGGGGGGAAGGATCAGCTGGGACTGGGTTATTTCAATATTCTGTTATACACCACTTAACACACACACACACACTATTTTCTTTCCCCCTCTGACACACTCTATCCTCCATACTGAACACAGATTATCATCCTTCCATTATGTGAATGCTTTGCAGGCCTGTGTTTAACTGGTCTCCTGTCCATCCCAATGCTGCTACTGTACCCATATGCTGTCCATAATGCTTCTTCTTCCTGAAGAAAACATTCCCATTGCCTCCACCAGCTGGTGGTTTAATAAAAAAGTGAATGATTAACAGACAGACAGTTGGTGGCTCAATGTACTCAATCCGCTGCTTCTAAATGTTTTCTTATGTGGCTTTTGGTATTCTTTAGCAACAAAAACGACCAACTGCTAAGTATACATTCTTTCTGAATACCAGAGTAGTTTAAATATAGCAATTATAGTGAGACTTGGTGTTTTTAATGAAGAAAGTCTTCATAAACAAAAGGTTTCTTTTGAGTTTGTGATGGCTATTCTGAGCCACTGTTGGCAAACTTTAGATATTGCAGTATAGCTGTCACTGAGTCAATTTGCTGACTTAATGAGTCTTCTCTATATGTTCTACTTTCATAATATTTCATAACATTCACAGTGCTTTGGCCACAGTGGCTGCTGTTCAGCTACTTAGTGTTGCTTTAAACCTACAGTGAAGCAAGGGGCTGCCAATAGAATATAAGGGAATATAGCAATATTTTGCATTATTCACCAGTAATATTATTTTAATCCAACATACATTTTTGCAATATAAAGATGTATTTGTTTGATTTGTTGGCCATCATTTTCTGAGTTTAGTAACTTTTGCTGTTCTTACTGAGGCCAAATGCTGAGTCAGGAAATGCAGCAGCAGCACACGCTCCCTCCTGATGTGTAAACATGACCTGTACTGTAAAAGTGTGACAAACCATTACACAATAATGTCTTCCACTCTAATGCCAGTGAGTTAATGAAACCCAGGAGACTGTTTACTTTGATTACGACTCGTCTCTAATGATCCAATCTGCAGCGCTGTAGCACTTTAAAGTGACTCAACTTTTTGAAGAAGCAATAACACATTCTTCCTGTTACAAACAATAAGCTCAACTCATAACCAACAGAAAACACACTTGCTCAATACAACTCACTCAGGGATTTTGCTGTGATAGTCTTCCATGGCCAGTAGCTTGCAGTGGCTAATCTTAGCAACCTGAAGATAGATATTGCTGATCTTTAAGCATTTCCATTTTTGTATTATTCTCAATTGTAACCAAAGTGGCTCATTTTTCAACTAAAGTTACATAGTGTCACCTTATCATCTAGCTTTAAGGTTGGAAGCATTATTATTCCACACTGATTAGCTTGAAATTGTGGAGAGTTACAGCGATTTGTCATTACTGTCCATGAACTTGTGTGTGAACCTCCATGAGACACAGTGCATGTCTACCATCAGTCGTTACAGAAGTCTTGAAAACATCAACTTGTAGAAATATCCACATCCACCTTGTGCTTTCATCTGGGCAACGTTACCGCTTCACCATTTTACAAAAGTCTCTCGGTCTGTGGCTGCAGGGTCGGATTTTTTTAATAGTTTTTTTTATTTCCTTTTATTTGACAGTGACCACTGGAGATAGACAGGAAAGCGGGGTAGAGAGAGGGGATGACATGCAGCAAAGGGCCACAGGTCAGATTCGAACCCTGGGCCGCTGCAGGACTCGGTCCATGGTCGCCAGCTCTACCAAGTAAACAAACCCGGCGCCCAGGGCCGGATTAACTTGAAATGAGCCGTGGGCCTCTACTGACCCTCGTTCTTCACAGTTTCCATACACTGTGTTAGAAAGTAGCAATTATTCAAGTGTAGCATGTTACGTAACAATGCAGTGTTGCCTTAAATACCTTTTTACTTTAGTTTATATTGTGCTCTAATGGAGAATATTTTATTATCAAACAAATCAGCAATTAATTCAATTGTCACCAGCTAACAGCCACAATGGAGCCTGGAAGTCGCCCGCTGCACCTGGTTGGTAATCCAGCCTCCCACAGTAGTAAGATATAAACAACAAGAACAACATGGAAATTATGAAAAACTATCTTTATTCTACATTTTTATGTAATTTACCTCAATGTACAGTCTGTAGGGTAATTTCTGGAAACAAACAAAACACTGTTTGGGAGAACATGAATTGATATGCATAAAAACAAAAGATTACTGTAGTTTAGAAAATGAAAGGTGACTGTTTTGGCACCTGTTAATGTGGGTGCATTGTGGGCATCACAACGATGGATAACAATCTCCTACAGCACTGAAACCTATTTGCCAGACTTTAGTCAGTTCAAAGTCAGAGCAACAGACTTCTGTGGTATTGTATAAAAGTTAACGAAAAAAAAAAACGTTTTGGAAAAAAAATAAATGATAAGTAAAGGAAATGGAAATGTCTATTTACAGTTCTGTAAACCAGGATCATTTAAAAACACTAGCTTAGAAAAATAAAAATAACCCAATGGTGTTTGCAAGGAACATTTTTGTTACGGAACTTAACATGCTGTTCACATTTCCCTTCATTGCCAGTTTCTTTTTTACAGGTTTGCAGTTGTTTTTGTCCCTGCGTAAACTACAATGACAAATGTAAAAAAAAAGCTTTTCCTGAAATGATGCAGCCCACATAGAAGTAAAACCAATGCTACCATAAACCACCTTGGCAGAACAGATATGCTAGTTATTTTCACATGCATACGCAAATTATGCAAAGAAAAGACAGTCGACCATTTCCTATTAGCAACAAAGCTGCCTCATGTAGCATATCCAGTTATTCTATGTTCAAGAAACTAAAATCTAAATTGATAATACAACCATTTCATTTGTAAAAAAGAAAAAAGAAAAGAATAGAAAAAAATAAAAGATAAACAGCTGTAATGTGTTTCTTAATGTCCTACAAGGTTTCATCCAATGAATCATCATAAAGTCGCAATTAAACACATTCACCTTTTCTCCACACCAAATCAAGCCAAAGCAAAAATGATGCAGCTATTAAATAGACGGCATGTTCCTTCCCTTTTGTGGCCTAAATCAACAGGCCGAGCCAACACTTACAGGACTGATCCAACATATGAAGACTAAATATAAAAAGGTGAGAAATGTTACCATACAGGATACACTGGATGTTAAAATAGGAAAGAAAATAAAAGATCAAGTCACCGTGTTTGAAATTCTGGCAGCTCTCTCGGTGCTATTACTATACCGGCACTGATGCATTTGGACACACGTGTTAAAACAGACACAAGTGATACCTGGGTTAAAGGCCCTGAAAGCGGTTCTCCATGAGCGTGACGCTATGGACGATGGGGTCTTACATGAACGCACTGTTTTTGTTATTTCACATTAGAGATAGCAGAGTTTGTGTTTTTCTCTGTGCTCTTGTCACTACTTTGAAGTGGGTGGGGCTCCGTTGGGAAAAGCTGTTGGCACATACTTCCACCAATCAGGATTCAGCAACATTTGAATGAAAATCTGATGGCAGTTGCGGGCGGGGTTGTTTGGTCACTAGACAGTTTCCATATGAGTATTAAAGCGGTTTACAGAAATTAGGTAAAAGAAGATGCAAATTACTACACGTTTTGAGAATATTAGTTCATTGGTTCATTGAGATTAAGAGTCAGGTGCCACCACTGCAGAAGAAGGTGCAACAAGGTAACGAAATTAAAAGAGTGCCATTCAAACGTCAGATGAACAAAAACAATGTGGAAACATGATGGAAATACTGTCATTTAGGTTTCTTTCATGTATTCATTTAATGTTGTTGTCTGCTGCAATTCTTCGTCATCATTTATGCATAATTTTGCACTTTTTTTTTTGCACTGTCCCCTTGTTGCTCCTATTGATATACCAACTTTCCACTTCAACCAAGAGTAAAGACTTCTAAAGCATATTTTGACTTTTTTTTTTTTTAAATGAATGTATTGCATTTCTACTCAGGATCTTTTTTTGGGGGGGCACAGAATTGAAAATGCACATCAAAACAGGTGTATGGAAACACACTTAATGTCAGTTAAATCAAACCACACCCACACTGCTGCTGAAGCAGGTAAACTAGGAGTTTTTGAGATATAAACTCTTCATAAATAATACCTTAAGATGTTTTTTTAAATTGTCAAAGTTAGTCAGAAATATTTTGTGTTAGAAATAAATAAAGAGGTTTTCAGGGGCTTTTAAGTTCAACAAGCTTCTGTTGACCTGTGCTTAAAGTAAATTCAAAGTCAAGAGCTTAAACTCAGAGATCTTCATCCAGTTTTAAACTACTGATCACAGCGAGAACCGACACTATAATGAAAGAGTCACTTCACAGTGCTCGGAGGCCCAACAGTAGAATACTGTACGCAAAAGGAGATAAACGAAGCAAGCCAATCACAGTCTGCACTTTGGTAGACCTACTGAACCTAAAAATCCTTGTTTCCTTGCATTCTCTTTTCTTTGCATTACACACCTGACAAAGATCACTTCAAACATCCCTGCTTGAGCTGATCCAAACTGTCTTGTATTGTTCATCTCCCCTTCTACAATAAAACCCTCTGAAAAAGTAAAAGAAATACTCGAGTTCCACCTTCCTAGTAAGTAAGTAACCGAGTGGAAAAAATACTGCATGTTAGCGTTAAACCATTCACCTGATCGCTATTTACAGAAACACTGTCGTAGTTCAGGGTTGTCATAGAGTCTATCAGCATAAAATATGTTTACAGTACTTTGTCATCATTGTTGCTTGGTAACAAAATATCAGTTCAAGAGCCACTCTGGGAACATGTTTCCTCAGCCAAACTTCACACAAAAAATGCATCTGGTTATTGATTGGTTTAACGCCAGCTTGTGCTTGAGTGCTCCTGTGCTTCGGTTTAGTACGATGGATCGCTTACCCTCACTCAGGATGCTGTCTATTTTGGCAGACACACACACGCACACACATTTACATACAAGTTAGAACAAAGCACTCCTCCATAACAACAAGAAAACAGACAAGATGAAACTAAACGGATGAAAAATAACTGAATGTTGTTCCCATGTTGCAGTAAAAAATGTCTGTTTTAATACAGTATGTGCATCTTTTCTTTTTTTCTCTTTTTTTTTGACACCGCAACTGCAAAGTGTTTTTTTGTTTGATTATAATTTGCATACTGTGTCAGCAAGGCAAGTCTGTTGGAATTAAAACTACAGTTTACTGACCTTATTGGATGGATTTAAGTGTAAATATGACTACATCTATCTAATCCACCAGCAGGTCTTAAAAGTCAGCTTATAAAACATTCAGCGATGAGTCTGTCTGACGGGAATAATACAGAAATCAAAATAAATCAATTAAAAACCATAGAGTGTTTTTTTCTATAATGAAGCTAGGAAAACTTGGGTTTAGAGGACCAAGCATGCATATGGTCTTCTGACAGTCATATGATCTGTCTTGCTACTGGTCCTTTTCACTTTCCATAGAAATCTCCAGTATGTGTGTGTGTGTGTGTGTGTGTGTGTGTGTGTGTGTGTGTGTGTGTGTGTGTGTGTGTGTGTGTGTGTGTGTATACAGTATTGATATATACACACACGCACTGGAGATGTTTTTCCTCCCTGCCTCACTTTGAGAGAGGTAACTACCTGACTCTACTGGGAAACATAAGAAGGCAGGAACAGGAACGTGTCTTTCCTCTTTATGCTTATTACTCCTCCTCCTCCTCCTCCTCCTCCTCTTCCTCCTCCTCTTCCTCCTCCTCCTCCTCCTCCTCCTCTTCCTCCTCATCATCATCCTCATCGTGGCAGTGAGTGATCTCCTGCGGCGTCTGGGGGAACAGGTTGGGAGGTTTGATCTCACTGAAAGAGCGGGTCAGCTGGTTGCGTTTGCACTCCAGGTCCTTGCAGTCGCTGCAGTGGGTGCGGTTGCGTGTGGCCAGCGGCGACTCCGTGTCAATGTCCACGTGGGCGTGTTCAACCGTCGACTCATGTGGCATCTGGGGAGGAGGAAAGACAAAATGTGAGAAAACAACTTGGCAACACTAACAGACTTACTGGAAGAGGCGTGTCTTTCTTTAACCAGAGGGTTTCTGAATAAGGCTTTCATCAGGGTGTTTTACAGAATGGGTAAAAGCTATGATCTTCATTCTCCGCCCTCTGGTGCGAGATTCAGAGATTATAAAGAAAGAAAGTTAATATCACTCGCCCTCAGCCGCAGATTGAGCTTCATCAATACCAGTAAGAGAAATAACAGTCACTGACTGCACTAAGACTCCTGACAGACAAAGATATTGATTACATTACCCACAATGCAACACAACAGCTTCAGACTGTTATGCTAGTAGAGGCTGATGTAGCCTTGAGTCACTATGGGCCACAGAGGTCTGTAAGTTCACTTCTCTCCAACTCCGCACCCCCAGATTTTCCTTCATTTTCACACTTTAGACCCAAAGAAATATCTATAGATTTATAGAAGTTTTATAATCTTCATTGGTATGAGACAAGACTTTCATATCTGCATCAGTAAAACAAAGACATGGTATTGTCTCTAACCTTTCAGGGTGAACGGTTTATATCCAGATACTCACCAGAACGTGTGCAGCTCTGAAGAGGTAGCTGAAGGGGTAATACAGCAGGTTGATGAAGGAGGCTGCGTACAAGTCAGCGTAACGCATCACTTGAGAGGCAAACAAGGTCTGTCTGGAGCCACTGCGGAAAAGGCTACCCATCATGCCGTAGCACATGTCCATGTCGTGTGTCACTTTCTAAAAAGGCAGGAAGGAAAAGAGAAGACACTGGTGAGCCTGCAAAATCATGCCAAAAAAATAAGATATGTTTACCCACTTCTAAAAGGATTTACTATCCTGACCCTAGTAAGTATAGTATCTTTATCAGGGGCGTTGTTGTGGTTGTTCATTGACACAACTGAATCAGCAGTTACCTCACCAGGCACTGAGAGAACAATGAGGAAGTGGATTATTGTTAATGATAAGACTATAGTAGACACTGTATCAAACATACTGTAAACATGGCCATTGATAACTAGGCCGTCTCTGGCAGCCAGTGTTGAAAGCATGTGGGCAGGTCTCTTGATGCCATAGAAACAGAGGTGATTAAGGCCATACCTTGACTCTTCTCTGAATAGTGCTGATGTCTGGCCTCTCGTTGCTGCTGCTGTCCAGATGTCTGAGGAAGGACGGGGAGAAAGACGATGAGGACGAGAAAGAGAGCAGGAGGGATACTGATATCAGTCTGCTGAAAGGTAATGTGTCAAAGAGGTGGTTGCAACAGCAAGATCGTACCAGGCTATAACTAACATCAGCGTCGGCAGCTATCAGGCGGCCAGAGAGAGCCGACCCTTTAGACTTTACCCTGTTGACCCCCTGTCAAACACACGCTCACATGCATGCAAATAGACGATGTTACTGCACAGAGCAAAGAGCAGCTGAACTGCTGGGAAAAATAAGCTAAAAGGTCATAACTTACTTGTAGAGTTCTGCCAAGAAAATGTCCAGCCCCTGCAGCTCCTCGAATAAGGCTGGAAAACATGAGAAGAGGCTGAACATTAATATCCTCGCTACTAGTGTGCAAAAAAGATTTACAGTGCATATACAGTATTCTAGCGTTAGTTGGCCCTAGTGTAAATATCCAGTGTGTTTTGACTTTGAACCAACTGGTTATATGATCTGTATAACATATCTAAAGTGATTAGGACTGCAGTACTTGGAAATGCACATACAGTCAAACTGCTATATCTGCATGTTACTATGTGTAGGCCTGTGTTTATGTGCGTGACTACAGACTCACAGCTCTTGTCAGTCCACACATGCAGCTCCTGGGCCAACTCCGGTATAACCAGGAACGTCCTCCAGCCTTGACGTTTCTTGGACTTGAGGATGTCTCCAAAGATATGGTCCCCGATGTAGACTATGTCCTTCCCCTTGGCCCCCAGCAGGTCACACACAATGTCTGAGGAACCTAAAGGAGAATGACGTGACATTACAATCTTGTCAATCACAACTACTGCACACAACTAAACACTAGGTCAAAGAATGACTAAAGGAAACTAGTCTTACCTCCAGAGTAGACTATACCATGCTGCAGAGGTCCTGTGTAGGTTCCTATCTTTAAACGCCCTGTTGTCTGAAAGGAAGAAAACATATCACATTGGTGAGAGGAACCTTGGCACAAACAGAGATTTTTATTGATTTGGTAAACCCTGAAGGGTGCATCCAGTAATACATAAATCAAAAGATGGCCAGCAGTTCAAAAGCTGCCGTTGCTGCTGGGCTGCAACATGTTCAGATACGTCAGTATTCACATGCAGCGCAGCTATTAGCCAAGTCTTCTCTGTGTGTTGTGGGTCTGCTCACCGTGTCGACTTGTCTGAGCACTGTACCCTCTCCGAAGAACAACGGCTTCCTGGCGTCCACCAGGATCAGATCAAAGTAGGACTGCCAGGGCCGGTGGGAGGTACCAGCCTGTGGGGGTTACAAACACACACAAGCAATAAAGTCACACATACACATATGAACAGAAAACATGTCTTTCAGCTTCACCTGTGTATTCAAAGTGCGATCAAAGGGGAAGAAAAACTATATTTTACCTTCGGGCCATGAGGGAAGTCAAACAGGTAGGTCATGATTTTCTGTGAGAACACAACACAGACTGACAGTCAAACCAAACACAGCAGTGATTAGAGTTAATGCAGCTGCTAGTGCTGCCAACACACAAGTAGAAGCTCTTAGAAATGGAACTCAGCATTAATTCGTCATCATCTGTACCACCACTGTGGTCTTTAAATGGACTTAATACTGTTTTCCCCTCAGAAGTGAAGATTCTACCATTACTGCATGCCTGTACTCACATAAGTGTATTTGTAGTCACTGTTGGTAGCCAAGAAAACCTTGGCAACTTCATTCATTCGGCTGAGGAGAAGAGGCAACTTCCCCTGGTGGGATCAGAGAATAAACAAAGAAAGAATAAGACTGAAGCTCTAAGCATCTTTACAAAACAGCCTCTTCTCAGAGAGAGAGAAGAAAGAGAGAGAGAGAGAGTGAGAGTGTGTGTGTGTGTGTGTGTGTGTGTGTGTGTGTGTGTGTGTGTGTGTGTGTGTGCGTGCTCTGTAGCAACCTTGATGAATACAAACTACTTACATCTTTCACTACATACTTCTCCAAGTTCTCAACCGTCTTCTCCTTCAGAGTGCCCTACAATGTGACACACAGGAGACAGACTTGACAATCTACATTTCAACTACACAATCTTCAGAAACACCACTTCCTTAAGTTAGCAGCATCAATATTAGTCATTTCATTCAGCAATAATTTGGTAACAGTTGTCAGAGACAACCCACACAGAACACGAGGACTTGTGGCCTTCAGCTGTGGGTAGTACAGGATGAGCAGTACTGATAACAGCAGTGATAGATTTAATGTTAATAAAAAAACAACTCTTTCATGCATTGCAAAAAAAAAATGTAATTGAAGGATTACCTACATAACTGTAATATAAGAGAAAATGTACACATCTCCAGTGCACGTAGAACAAATAAATTGCACATCCCAACCACTAGGCCATCAGAACATCCTTTGCTCTTTGATGCTAGGGATCTGACAACAACTTAATATATGTTCAGCACAGATATTTTAGATGGCCGGTTTTTGGATATTAATAGCCCCAGAGGGCGACTATTTATGGCTTTGATGACTCTGTGCCATTTGGCCTATTGCCACCATCCAGGTAGCTTGACAAGTTGTCTTGATAACTGATAAAAATATGACCACAGGATCATTAGATGTTAAATATATATATTTAAAAAAAATTTTTTTGTAAGGAGTATATTCAAATGCAGGCATATTCCTAACCTAACAAACAAATCCTGATCTTACCTCCCCTTCCAACTTACAGCTCTAGTAAAAATTTTAAATATTTCCTTGATCCAGACTAGGGATAATACCAATATATAATATTATCGCATATAGTCATAAAAAAACACTGAGATATAAGTATATTGTTGTGAACATCCATTATCGGGATAATTGTTAATATCCTCACATGAGTGAATTGAAAAAGCTATCTAGCTTGCTAACGTACAATTTTTTTCATTCCATATAGTCACTCCAAAATCCTAGACTTGTCAAGGCTGACGGCTCGACTTGTACGTGATGTTCCCCACAGAAACGAGTTAAACCGGAATGGTTGAAACTACTATGGAGTCCAGACTTAAGACTGACAAATGTTTGCTTCTTAATTAAATGTAAGGTGAAGAGATATGTATATACAGTATGTATAATAGTAGTATACAGTATGTTCTAGTGCCATTTGATGTTCATCGCAATAATATAGTGAATTGTAATATTTTGTTTAGGATAATGGTAACGTGAAATCCTCCCATGCCTAATTCAACCAAATGAGCCAAACTGCAGGTGTAAAAGCAAACTTAATGTTGGCTGCTTGTATAAGTCTAAAGGCCAGACTGCCATCAGCACTGAACGTATTCATGTCTAGACAGAAGCATTACAGGCTGTGGTTAAATTGAGCAGCAGCCAGGCATGGATGTGAAGCCAGTGTATGCGTCAGCGTGATAACACACTGAGGTTAAAATCGCAACAATCACAGTGGTCTTACCTTGAAGTGGACCCAGTCGACGGCGTCACGGACATCCTGGAACATGCTCTTGTAGGACATGAAGAGGTCGCCATTTTTGAAGCCACTCTCACAGCTGGAGGAGAGGAGCAGAGACACACACGTACACAGCCGTCGGACAGGCCACATATTTACAGAAGGTTTTTCAAAAACATGACATTTGTTTTTTGTTTGCTTTTAAATGGGATAGCCTTCCCTTGTTGGAGGGGTCCCCAGCCAAACAGGAAAGCATTCTCCCCCTAAAAGACCAACAACCAGGTTTCAGAGGACAAAAGACATGCAGCCATTCCAGATTACATTCTCAACAAATTTACAGGTCATTTTATCTCCTTACAGTAACATTTAAAAGATTATCTTATAGTTATATCAAGATTTCATTCTCTGTAAAAGTTAGTGAGAACATTATCCATTCCTATCTCATTCTGAGAAGAATCCATGCTTTTCTACAATTAGTAGAAGAGATTAATAAATCACTGTTATAGAAAAAAAAGGGTTCTTTGACTGAACTCCCATTTGATTTCCACTTTAAAACAATTAGCTTAGATTAGCAGTTGAGACACCTGGACCCTCCCATGCTGTAGGGCTTGCTCTTGACCCAGTTTGGCTCGCAACTGTCTTTGTGTCACCATGTGGTGCCCAGAAACTTGTTGCATGACAGATAGTGTAACTAAAAGTTCTTCACCTTGTGTATCTGTCACAGTTGGAGAAGAAATCCACCAGGCAAGCAAAGAGGTAGGTCTCTGTGAAGAAAAACAGAAAGACAGTGAGAAGTTATCAGTAGTGAAAAGCTTGATCAAACTTGTCTTTAACACAATTGGAAAGGTTTCTGCTAGAGACTCCCATAAAAGTAATATTCAGCTTTTAATCAGGATAATGTGATTTCTTGCCAATTTGCTCTCTTTCTAACAGTGGCAGTATTCTCCTCAGTGCTCAGAGATCTTACCTGGCAGGTTAAAGAGTGTGTTAAGGATATAAAAGCGCTCTGTATCATCTCTCTGGATAAACTTGTTTGGGTATCGTTCACGGATCTCAGGGCTGGGAAAAGAGAAAATACAAGATGAATTCTTCGTTGTAGAAAAAACATTTAAATTTGACATATAGCACAAATTGTTTTGGGGGGGGGGGGTGACACACTCACCCTCGGAGGAAGTTGAAACCGTGGACACAGACCAAAATATTACCATAGGCGTCAACCTTCAACAGGTTTCCATACATGGTGTCAAAGACAAGGCCCCTGAAATCAGGAAGAAATAAACAAATAAGTCCACATTAAACCAACTTCTCTAACTTACCAACAACCATAAAAACAACATCTGAATTTTTGTAACTGCCATCATTTGTGATATAATTACGGTTACTGTCATTATAGACTGCGAGGAACTAAAATGATAAGAGACAAGGCCATAAAAGCAGCAGTTGGCAGCCTTCATCATCAGAATAATGTCTATGTGTGTGTGTGTGAGTGGTCTGACCTGGTGGGAAAGGATGGGTCGTAGACAAAGCTCAGCAGCTCCTGGGGGTAACCAATGGAAACCAGCCGTTCCACTGTGAGCTCAAAACCTAGTGACTCGTACTCCGGTGACTTATACACTAGAATTAAACACACACACGTACACACAGTGTTACCCCAGTAGCCCCAGTAGAAGAGCACAATACACACGGTGCCACAGTGAAGTCTGGTGTCTCATCTGGTATTATGACGCTACAGTAAAAAAAATACAAATAATGCAAATTTTGTTCATACACATTGATATTTTTTGGAAAAAGGTGAAATTAAGTCCAGAGACATATCCTTGCTCAACAGAAGATAACTATCTGCTTAATCAACTCTTAAAACTGGTATGTGGCCGACAGAAGAGCTTGTCGGGCGTGTGTAACATTTACATAAAACACTGTAGTAGTTGAGGAACCTGACCTGTGGCTGATGCTGTGATTACACAGCAAACAATGTTTCATTAGAGATAACATACAGTCAGTGGAGCTCACTCATGTTATGAAACACTTACATGTGACTTCACGTCCACTTGAGAGTCTGTGGTGTTGTCTCAGTATTTTGATAACAACATGTTCTCACTCTACAGTAAACCCCCCCACCCACACACACACACTCATTGCCCTTCTCACTCCTTGCTATCAACAAGGGCCTTGGTGTTCTGCATGCAAATCCACAAAGAAACAGGATCAGGCGTGAGAATGAAAAATTGCTCAACTTTCAGCAGCAGCTCTAATGAGCCTGGCCGAAGCCACCCCCCTAACACCCCCCACCCTGTCAATGCCGAAGGCAGACATTTATCCCACAGCCAAACCTGAAACACAGATTGATGCTAGGCTAAGAAAAGGCTGGCAGAGGATTACAATGCTATCTGACACCGGGAAAAGAATATGTCAGATGTTATAAATACGAAAGGGAGAATGCGCTTGTGTTGTTGCCTGCTTTCTACACTTCCAGTGGGGCGGTACGGGGCCCCTGGAGGGGAAGAAATATTGGCTGATGATGCTTGGATAGAGGACAGTTAGTGGGGGAGCAGCACTGCAGGACAAACAGGAAAACATCTGTGTCCTACTCTGCAAAATGAGTGTTTCTAATTCTGTTTCACACAGAAGCATAATGAACATGCACTGAGTTACAGGGAAATCTTGGGTTCAGTAAAGCTTTGTCCTTTTGTTGACACCCCTACTCTGTAAGCCTTTCTGCATTATAATCACGTAACCTCTTGCAATTCAACTAGCCCCCCCTCTCTCCACCCCCTACTGTGGTCTCCCAGCAAACTGAGGGTTTGGGCCCTCTGCCCAAAGCAGTAGCATACACCATCTAAATTGCCTTTACTCCTCCTCCTCCTCTTGCTCACTTGTCACCCTCTGTCACCTTTGCTATCATCACTCTCTCTTCTTTCTTCTAACTGTGTTGACCTTGGGAGACTGGTGGCACTTACACAACTGAGGATAAATAAATTCACATCTCAATGTAGCTTATATAAAAGTGAGTAGGCTAGTCATTTAGGATCAGTAATTTGTTTTGTTAAATGACATAACAGCTACACCTGCACAGCAGCCATTTTGGCCACGAAGTGAATGAAAAGCGCAAACAGCCCTATCTAGAGCCAGTTTTTGGTTTGTCCGTTCCAGGCTACTGTAGAAACATGGCGGTTCAACATGCTGGCCTCCACAGAAGAAGAACTGTAAATAAAAATGACTCATAAGGAAAAATGAAAAGTAACGTTTGAGGGAAAAAAAACACATCTTAAGTTAGTATTTATTAAGAGTTTAAAAACTCAAAATCTCAACAAAAGTGCTTCACCAGGACTCTGTGGGTGTGGTTACATCAGATTTGATCAACACACGCAAACAACCACCCAAATGTTGTCAGCTAAAGCCGACTGGTGCACACAAATATGTGACATCACCTTTTTCCATCTAGGCCTCGCCCACTTCAGACCAGTGAGAAGAGCACAGACAAAAACACATCCAGAAAATCTCATTTGACAAAACCAAACTGTTCTAAACGTTGACAGGCCTCCTCCAAATCCAACACTGACCATGAGCACAAATGACTTTAGTTTTAGTCTATAGTTTTTTAACTAAAACCATTTTACTTCTGAACAACAATCCCCCCCCCTTCAAAATCTCCACACAGACACATGACACCTATGGCCTACATTGTATGCTTTTCAAAAGTCCTTCTAGACATCCCCCACTATTTCACATGTTTGAAGGCTTCATCATGATTTGTAGATTTGTTTTTCCATAAAATCCACAACGGAAGCTACAGTCATGGAAAGTTGTACATTTACTAAACGGGCATCAGATAAAATCTTATCATCAAATATTATTGAAAACTCGTGTTTACAGTGTTTGCGTGCAGACCGGATGTTGTGTTATTGTTGCTTACAGCGTCCTTGACTCTCTTGCATATCTGCTTTACAGGGGTCGTTGCTCCCCTGCTGCAAGCCCCTTCTCGCATTTCTCACGCTGTCAGTATGCACATGTACACAAACACACGCGCACACACACAAACATATGACCGTCTACTTAGAGCTGAGGCGAGAAGCGGACTGTATCTCTGATGAGATCGTTGCCAGTTACTTATACTCCTGCTGCTCCAATTGCTGAGGTGTGTGGGGTCTCTCTAGAGTTTATAGGCCAGCTCACCTCAGGCCTACGTGTAATGCACACCCCTCAAACACAAGGTAAACAGCCTGCACCCTTCTACTAATAGACCACTAAATCCAAGTCATACGAAGTGTCCCACACGGAGACGTTTCAATCTGAACCATGTCACATAGCCATATTAGAAACCTTAACACCTTAACTGTCTTAATTTATCTGTAGCCACTCATATGCAAATGTAGGCCTCTGTCACAGATTTATGACACACACTGTGGAAAAATTAGAAAACTTGAGCTTAGCCTCAGGGGCCTACATTCCAGCCAAAAGTCTGTTGGAAAACTAGGACAAAACTGTGTGTATCTCTCAATGCATTCTGGGCCTCAATGTGTGTTTGAGCAACAATTTCTGCAGGCGTCTATGTGCTCCGAAAGGGAACACAAAGAACAGATGAGGCAATGTTGTCTCATACCGTGTTGATTTAGTTTACAAAGCCTTACAGGATATTACAAAACGTGTGATGTGTACTGTGCCACTTGCGAATGTTTCAGTATTAGGGGAAATGTAACCTTTGATCTTCATATGTTTGGGTGATTAAGATCAATAATCTTGTTAGAAGTGTATCACAGCACCATGAAACAACAGGAGTAAACTTACAGGATCTTGGACCATGTTCTACCTACCTTCAGATATCGAGCTTCACCTTTTGCACTTGATAAGGTAGCAAATAATAAAACTATTGCTCAAAATTATAACGTTTAATAAGATTAGGGCCACATTTTTTGTTAGTTTTTTTGTGTAACACCATCATGGTGTGCAAAATGACAAAAACTGCATGGTGGTGGTGTAAAACTGACTGAATCACTGAACATGATTTCAGGAGCTTTAAGGGGATAGAGTAGGTACCGCAGTATAAGGAAGAATCCCTGATGGTTGGCATATGCATCGTCTTACAGTGCATATCATAATAATATTATTATTATTATTGATTGGGTAAGTCTGGTTTAAACATCAGTTAGTTGAGCTGTTACTAGGTATGAGCACTGGCAGAGTGTAGAGCATTAGTATTGATCGTACAGTTAAATATAGGCTAGGTTACCGTGAGAATTGATTGACAGCGGTTATTAAACTGTTGACAGGAACTATGTTTGAGGTGATACATGACTTTAATGGACTAAAGCCAGTCAGTCAGAAACCACGGTAGATTTTTATAATTCCATCCTCACACAACTTTTTAAAGACATACTAAATCAACAAATTGGTTTTTGGCACATTTCCATACCCATAATGGCAATTTCAACCAGAAAAGTAAAAAGCACATACTTCAAGTACTTGGCACATTTGAACTGCCTTTAACACCCCCTAAAAACAAATACTGCAGTCGGCCAGGGTGCTGTGGTTAAGCAGCAGTCGCTCTGTGACACCACCAGCACGTCTGTGGTCCAAACCTGAACACCCTCCAAAGATACATGATAGCCACGCTTCAAGCAAACATTAACACTTGGTTATGGGCTCCCATAAAGAAAGTCATGTCAACAGCTGAGCGTCTGTAAAATCTCCTGCCCTCTGAACGGGGATAGGGGTACAGAGCCAGACAGGGACTACGAGTGATCCCCGTTCTCAAGGGAGCCATCACTGGTGAACTCAACAAACAAACGTGACCTGCTTTTCAAAGTCAGGGAGGGTTTATTTATAGAGACGGAGAGACCAAAAACTGGAGCTGAGTCACAGAACAAAGTGGCATGAAAAATCTGGATATTTTTGGCCTAGTTACTGGTCAGTAGGAAAAAGAACATACAATCGACTTTGTAGGGAGCTATGCTTTTAACATTTCGTTATCCAAGTTTTATAGTGAGCTCAATGTGTCACCGGCATTGACCTAAATAGTATTATGTGGACAACAGGCTGCAGTACTGCGTAGAGTAGCCAAATATAGAGGGGAAAAAAAGGGATACTGTAGAGTTTAACATTTACAAAAAGAGACAAGGCCAAATGAGATTCCACAACTAGGGATTTGTTTTCAAATTCAAGGAAGGGGTGACAAATCAGAAAAAACATACATACTCACTAAAACCCTGCAATGGCATTAACTGAATGTTTTTTCTTCTCATTTTGATCAATGTATCCTTTTTATCTGACTTAAACTGATATATGTACTGTACCTCTGGACTTATACATACATTATTAATATGACAACATAAAGGACAATCTACGTAATCTGACGCCTTGTTATGCGACCCTCTAGCCAACTTGGACTATGTATCAAACCTATAAAAGTACCAACAGTAATGCTAATGATTGTTTCAATTACAAATCAATGTATCAATTGTCATTTCACTTTAAAAATGATTCGTTTAGGCTAATTAATGTTAGAAATAATGTCAACTGTCTGTTGAAATGTCTCCCAGAGCCCAAAGTGTAAAGTTGAAAAACCCAAAGACATTTAATTAGCAATAAGAAAATGATCAAAGCATTTAATACCTCACATTTAAGAGACTGTGAAAAACAAATCATTTAGATTTAGATCATTTAGAGGTGATCAGTTAGGTGCACGTGTGTTTAACTTACCTGCTAAAGTGTAATCCATATCAAAGCCAAAGCACTTTATCTTCTCCATTGCCAAGCTTCTGTTGACAAACACTCTAGAGAACAAACAAGTTGAGGTAAATGTTTTAGTTGCAATACAATATTCAACAATAAGATCAGCATTCATTCTGAAGAAGACAAATATTCTGTGGAGAATATATTTGTTTGAGCTGTTTCACTCACTGAATAGACCTACTATAACCCAGACTGTGATGATAGAGGGTCTATTCAGTATCCAGAAACAATTTACCAAAATACTCAACAACTCAATAAGTCAATTACACACGCATACACGCACACACGCACACACACACACACACACACACACACACACACACACACACACACACACACACACACACACACACACACACACACACACACACACACACACACACACACACACACACACTATTAGCGAGATTAAGCAATTTCCTGCATGAAAAAAATGTAGTGATGTGGCATATATTTTTGACAGTGTGTGGACACATTGTGGACATTGTGACATATGAAAATAGCCCTCAAGATACTGTATTGGATTCATAACTTTGGGTACTGAAAAGTGTATTTATCAAACATTTATTCAAGTCACTTTTCTGTTAACAAAAAAAACAGTGGCATTCAATTTTTGGCTCTACACTGTGTCACAAGCTGAGCCTGTATGAACCCCTTCAAGGTGCCATTTCAAGCATACATTATTTAATTATTTTAAAATAATGATATCAAATTTCACCTGTTTTTAAAATAATTAAAACTATTACATGACAAAAATATGATATAATGTTATTTTTCATTGCAGCAAAGGGTGGCAGTTTTACAATGTAAGAATTCTAAAATTAACAGCACCCATTTAAGAAAGAGGCAGTTAACTTTAGTCCTAATGTTAAACAAAGGAACAACTTCATGAGGTAAGGGGCATCTTATGAGTATTTGAGGAAAGCTACCCAGAGAACAACCACAAACACTGGCATGTGCTAACAAATACCTTGCTATGGTTAGCTATCATGTCAAAATTAGAACTGAATGCACGTAAAATGCCCGGCACATTTTTACGTGAGCAACACCAAAATATTCTGCCATGAAGACTATTTATACTCATTAGTGGCTGGAAGTTGCAGAGTGTTTACCCAGTGAAATATATTTGAGATGTTTTTCTGCTTGCTGGCATTTAAAAAGATGGGTTACAATTTGGTACTTCTCAGTGACTTACAAACCTAGTCCAGGAGAAGCAAAATGATATTGAGGCAAAGTTTGCCAGTGGTGACAATAACTGAAAATACTGGAACATAAGTCACAACTGTGTACTTAACAATTTATGGCCTTAATTTGAAAGACTATATATTATTTTGCTTTTGTGTTAGAAATTACAAATTCTAACTAAAATGACCACATATTGTTACACAACTGTGCACCACTAGAATGGACTTAAGGAACAAGAACTTGCCACACAGGAAGTTAGCAACACTCCAAACCAGGGGATGATAAAGCCCTACACACTTAGCTCTGAGCATGAAAATCTTCCAGGAAGCAGGTCTACTGTGCTGACTCATAAATCAGTTTGTAGACTGGGGGTCCACAGTGACCACAATGATAGACAGTGTTTACATAGCCTGGCTGACACAGCTTTCACAGAAAAGACAGCCACACACACTGCTGGCGTAACTCTGACTGCTGGCACAGACCTACATATCTTATCTTCCACATCTGTGACTGAAAATGTTTAGCTGTTCTCCTAGATATTTACACACAAATCAATATTTAGTCATGCTAGAAATAAACTAAAGGAAAAATCTAAAATATCACACAATAAAAACAAGGTTACATCACTTTCAACAGCACACTAATCCGACACAAGCTCAGAACTCCCTCTGTCTGCATGGCAACCTATCTTGACATTAATCTGTGACAATGACCCTCTCACCCTCACCAATGTCTAAATCGGTTGTGAAATACCTGGCAGCAGATCCATAGTGAACGAGTTCCCATTTAGATCTTAGTCCAGCAGACGACTGGCGATGCATTCTGTGCGAAATTGTAACTCAGTTTGACTCTCCGTCGGACTGAACTGCTCCATCAACACAGGGCAGCTCTGGTCCACAAACAATGCCCCCCCCCATCCCTCCTCTCTCTCTTTGCTTTCTTGTCATTCAGACATTTTCTGACTTGTTGCAAAAATGATTGTTGCTATTCCGCGTCATTCTCTGTTGTTGTTGTTGTGTGCTGTCAGTCAGGGTTGTTGTTGTGCAGCATGATGTTTGTGGGCCCTCAAAGACATCCAGAACAATCACAAGTCAGGTAGAATCAAGCGAGCCCCGGCCCAGAGCGACAGCTGCTTACCATACGGAGATCTGGTTTAATGTAAACACTTACAGAATGAGCGGACTTCTTTTTTTTAGAAGAATCTCACAGGAGCAGATATTTCTAATTTTATTTTTTATCCTACATGGATGCATTTTATGGAAACAAAACAGGAGACTAAATATGAATGAATTGTATCAACAAGAGTTCTGTTTTTTCTCCACAAAATCAGATAACTTAAGTTAAACTTAACTGTCTTGTATTCAAAAAAAGATGTTTAGGTTCCTCAAATTCAATTGGTCATTTTTGAATCTCAATTTCAAGTCAAGCCAAAAACTTAAAATTACACAAATTGATTACATCAAGCCTGAGCCAGAAAAAATTATGTGTCTTATGCTCCAAGAAAAACAGGTTTAGATGAGCGACCTTAAACTGCAAGCACTTGAATTTTCTGTCTGAATTAATTTTAATTAAATGAATAAATTAAATTAATAAAAAAAACTTGCATATTGAGATATTTTTATTCTATCAGTGGTATTTAAATTTCAACATTATGTATTTACCACTAATTATTTAGGTAGGTATTCAGATTCTTCTAAAACTAATATGTTTATGTATTTTCTTCCTAGAATATACACTTCTTAAGCAGAGGTACTCCTCATTCAAAACAATGACCTCATTTACTGTCAGGATTTCTCAGCATTGAGGGAACATAAATTGATCAAAAGACAGCCATGAAGGATAACTTAAGTCTGCTAAGCACATATTGACAATGGGTCGGGGTGGAGTGGGTGGAGGTCACTTGATTACCAGAGTGAGTCTCGACTTTGGTCCTGCTTACTTCACTACTGCCTCAAACAGCCCACATGGGCCACACCACACCTACAACTGAATCCCTTAACAACTTCAACTCCATCTGAGTGCAGCTGTGCGACAATCTGTCAGATTTTTTCCACTGCTTTCTAATCTCACAAAGACAGTGATTCGGCTCTCTGTGATAGAGAGTTTATCTGTGCCGGGCAGAGTCGTCAGCCCTCTGGTATGTGACACACGGATCACCATCAGGCTGCATTGTTTCAGCTGAGCTCTTACTTTGAAGGAATGGTCTTTGTCTGTCCATGAGATAAACAAAAGGTCACCTTCGATGGCCTCTTGAATAAAAAACAATAATGATTGAACAGATCAAGCAGTCTTGGTGATTTGAACTAAACAGATTTACATACAAGTATATTGTTTTAGCGAGCTCCAGACCATTTTTTATCTCTATTATCTGTCATATCTTTGCACGTGTGATTGGTTGCCTGTGTGCGCCTAAAGAAGGTGAAGGGATGGGGGGAGGACCATGAACTGGATGAATGACAGTATGTCAGCACAGCACACACAGAGCTAACAGACGAGTGACAGTTTCATGAACCCTGTGAGCATTGCATATTATATAATAGTGTGAAGGAACAGCAGAGCCCAGTGGACACACAGGTCTTAGGCTGAGTTAAACATTAAACAGCAACACACGTTTTATTACTCCGACAAGGAATAAATTCCTCATTAAATCAGCCTTTTAGCCAGTATGACTACAGGGCGTTTCCAGTCAACAGGTTCAGAAACAAGGGTATCTCACTCATAGAAGCTCAGCAGTCTGGTGATAGGCAGATGAGGCAGAGAGGACTTCTGCATAACAACCATAAAACTACACCCAAACATGACTGTGTGCGAAATCTACACTAGCAAAACCTGCTTTATTTCAAGTTGAAGAACCTGAGTGACAAGGGTTCTGCTCCACTTAATGAGATATAAAAGCAGGAAATAAATGGACCCTAATAATTAATGATATCAAGAGCCTTGCCTTTAGAGCAATCTAAGTAGAGAAATGTTGTAAATCCTGGGTCACTATGGTCCAACGAGTAAATGCCAGAAGAAGTTGGTCAGTGACATTTCACTCTGTTATAATGACCATAAAGAAGTGACACAATGTAAAGGATGTAAAAAGTTCAGCTGGATTTACTTTGGTCTTAATGGCAGTTTTACAGCTACGTTTCTGAATTTCTTTGATGACTTGCTCTGTCTCAGTGAAATGAACCGTGAATGGACATTTGGACATCCATAGCATATCTGACTCCAGTATGGATTAGATATTCTAAGAAAGCAGTGATGGTTACAGTTTAAATATGGTCACACTGAGTTTGACCAAGTGATTGAACAATTATTACTTCTTTATAACTCAGTTCTACATAAGGAACTTCCCATTTCTCAAACTGTTCAGTGATTAGAGTTAGATCGGTGACGGGGGAATCCAGGCAGAGCAGTGGACCTGACTCCATCCGAGCAAACCATACAGATCCAAAAGTTAACTTTGCTCAGTGGAAGGAAACACAACTATGGATTAAGGCCTATGTATATTCCTCCAAACATAATCTAACAGCGTGAAAAAAATACTAAACTACTGCATTGTTTTAAAGTATTCCTGCTGCTGATGTCGTTCATCCACATCTGGCAATTGTTGTTTTGATTTAGAAATTGTTGTAATGTTGTAAAAATCTATTCATACGTTCCCCTTTTTGAAGTATGACCTGCTTGTGTGAACTGACTGTAAATTCCTTCAAAGTGAAACTCTAGGTGTTTCTGTTATTTTTGCACACCGACCGAGGGGTATCCCATCTGGATGTAGTTTCAGACAATAAGAAATGCACCTAGTGCCTCCACACGTGTTTCTTACCTGTGGTATGGCTCTCTTCTGTATTTTTTCATTGTCAGTCCGTCCATGTTGGCAGGCAAATCGGCATAGTTCTGCAGTCTGTCACTCCATGAAGTTGTCATCTTTAAAACCTTTCAGTGTCTGGGGAGGAGGAAAGCAACACATATGGAGGGGCTCATATATCTATATATGTAGTATATAAGAGGTCACACTAGTGGGGCCACGATGTTCTTTTAAGGCAAAGTCAAAGAACAAAAGCCAATAGCAAAACTGAATCTAAGACCAATGAAAGATTTAGTATGGAGTAATGCTAGTAGGCTATACTTACCGAACTACCCCGTGATTAAATGCTTGTTTGGTGAATGCATTCGGCCACAAACAAACAAGCTTAGACAAAGGCCAAAGAAGAAAAACAACACTCTGTATTTCAGCCTCAGTGGACTGTAAGTGGACTGTAAGCCTAGTCTTGGCCTTGACCTTATAATGGTCAGAGATGTAAGCTGACACTATCACTCTCCCACTGTCTCTGGAGAGGCTGGGCAGGAAGGAAAGGCAGAGGTCAGCTTTCTCCACAACAAATACAACAAAAAAAAAAAAAAGTGAGACTCGCTGAGGCAGAGGAGAACTGTGAACAGGGCCACAAACACTGAAACACTGACATCAAGGATAACTTTACAGCGTTTACAGGAGAGTAACCTTGACACCTTGGCCCCCTGAGTGAACCGGGTCCCTTGGGGTCTCTGAGGAGGGGGGGGGGGCAGCCAGGGACTAAGCAAATCTACCCAACTGGACTGCGAACAAGAAATGAAACTGAAAAGGCTAAACACAAGTTGTAACAGGCTTTGTTACCTCGGCTCAGTCTTAAAGGGAGTGGATCGACGTCTATCTCAACAACAATAACCACACGTAACCATCGCTGTCACTCGTTTCAGGCTGTCTTTGGGGGTGCAAATATAAAGGGCTACTCGGCGAAACCAACCGGTGGGAAGATTAGCTTAAGCTAGTGTAAAAGTATCTTCACAAGCTAGCAGCAAAGAAACCCCCTTGTTCGCAGCGTACCCAACGACGTCCTGTTATTTGCTCCACCGTAAGAGCTAGCTAACAACCTCTGTAAAGCTCCTTTCTACCGGACACTGATGAGGGGGGACAGCGGAAGGTGAACCGGGGGAAGCAACAAAAACAAAACAAAACAAAAGCCACAAAGTATGGGGGCATATTTCCCTGCGTTTAGCTGCGACTGGCGTTACTGTACTCACCTCTGAGTTCCTGAATAAAACAACTGCACCGTCAGTTAGTCTGAGCATGCGCCTTGAGCTGTGTACAAGTCGGAGAAGTCGCTGGTGTGTATTTTCTTACAGAAAGCAGCAGTCAACGCGGTGATGTCTACACTGTACAGCCAGGAAGCAGATGAGTGTTCCTGCTCTGCCTGCTCTCTGCTATCTCTCTCTCTGCGCTGCCAGCTGTTGTTATGAGACATTCATGGGGCGGGGTTTAATCATGTCTATCAAAAGGAGGCGGGACTATCTGCCGTCGTGGCACAGACACGTGACTGTTATCAGTTGACTGTGAGGTACAGACAGAGACACCTTCAAGAAGAGTGTACGTTTGTCTTGTTGCAGGGGTTAATCGTCTGTCTGCAGCCGTGGGAAGACTGCTTCCATGAGAACAGTAAAACAGTGCTTTAAAGATTCAAAATGGTAGATTATGTGGAAACTTGTGTAATTGCAAGTGCACAAACAAAGTAAAGATTAGTTGTCTGGTGTTTGCTTACATGCATTCACATGTCCCATCAGTGGTGGTGGCACCATCAGCTCCTTTACTTAAAGTCCCCCTCCAGTTAAAAATATGTTGTTGTTTTTTTGTTCCTACAGTGCAATGTTTGATCTTCACTGTGCAGAATGATGTATGTGCAGAGTTTGACACCAGAATGATGTTTTCACATTCATCTGCTGAAAGTGGAAAGTTGTGCTCTCTGAAAATCTGATTTAAAGGGGCACTGACTATGAGTTTGGTTTGTGACATCAATCCTGGTCCTGTATGCAACTTATACAAGTGTCATGTAGAAACTTGAAGCTACCAGTGCACAAACACTGAGAATGGACTTTACAGTGAAGTAGGAGACATCTTGAGTCCAGCAGGAAAACCTTAGAACATCAGACAACATTTGCATATTCATAGATTCTGTACGTTTTAATGGGGTAAAATGACTAGATGCCTTTTTTATTTTAATCTGGAAAATATATTACATAAACATATTTTTGCAGAAAAAACCTGTCAGACACACATTGTTGTTCCAAGCAGATTATTTGTATATGTTGCAATACATGTCTGGAGGGGATCCAGTAAAATTAGCAATAGTACAACTGAGTAAATACTCTAATATAGCAAAAGTCCTGCATTCAAAATCATATCACATAAAACTTATGTAAAAGTACAGAAGTATTCTCAGCAAAATACACTTAAATGAACTGTATGAAAACTAAAACTAAAGTAAAATGGCCCCTGTGACTGATTTATTATTAGACCTATAAATGATATCATTAGATTGTTAAAGCATACACAGTGTTGTAGCTAGAGAGGGGGCTTGTTTGTCTACTTTAGATACAGTTTGGTAGTTTAGTCCAGTGGTTCTCAACCTGAGGGTCAGGCCCCTTAACAGGGTCACCAGGAAAATCTGAAGGGTCGTGAGATAGTTAATGTTGTAAGAAAGAAGAAAAAACAAAGTTCTGCTTCCTATTCATTTGTCTGATCCTTGCTTTTTAGTGAAATTACCCTTTGGGCCTCAAACAGTTATTTAAATGAAACCATGTGAGACGTCTGGAGGAGAAATGTGTCTTTGGGGAAACTGCTAAAAACTCACAGACATCTGAAATATGAGACGTCCAAACTACACACTGGTTGTTGTGTTTTTATAAGGGGCCACAAGTCAGACAGGTTTCAGAGGTATTGATTTTATCTTTAACAATGTGTTGCATTTTATATGTATGTAAATCCTTAATCTGAAATGTAAGTATTACAGCATACATACATTATAGATGAAAAGTAGCGGAGTGAAAAGTACAGTATTACTCTCTGAAAGGTGGTGGAGTAGAAGTATCTTTGATAGATAGACACAAGTAAAATAAAATGGAAATACTCAAGTAGCTCAGAACTGTACAGCACTTGAGTAAATGTCCTAGGTTACTTTCCACCACAGAGCATTGAACAGTGTCAGTAAGCTATTTGAGTAAGAGTATGTATAGTGCAGCTGTATTTGGACAATGCCACATTGGTGTGGAACTGAAATAAACCAATGACTTTGTGGATAAAGTGGTGACTTTCATCTAGTCATTGTCCTGCCACACTGTTCTAAAATGAAGGGACAATGAGTCTGGTTTTCTTATGGGTTTAACAACCTCAAATACAGTTCAAGCTAAAAGTCAGTCCATTAACCTCAGTTGTTTCATTTCAGGTCATTCTGCTGAGTAACGCTTATCTGTAAGTACAATGTGTTTTTTTTTTAAACAACAACAACAAAAGTAAGCTCAGTTACAGTAACAGGACAACATGCAAAACAAAATTTACTTCCATTCATTTATGTTAGAACGAGTGTTCCCACAGTTTTAATTCAAGAAAAGAACAGAATAGCTATCCTGATTAGATTAAAGCTCAATCAACATCAGATGAGAATCACACGTTCTTCTCCACAGCACAAAGTCAAATATACATTTCTGTGGACAATTTTGCGTAATAAAAGGTCTTCTATTGACATTGTCCCTATAACGTGCTTCCCCTGCCACAAGCTGGTTTGCTCTGGCATGCAGGACATTATTTTATTCGCACAGACTTTATTACCAAACACTTATTGATAACAGCACAGATTTTGAGAGAGAGAGGAAAAAAAAAAAAAGGGCATCTCAGATTCGGTTTGAAATTTATGAAAATTTTGAATAAATGAAATGAAATGAAAAAAAGGTGAGAAAAACCCAATCAGGTCTGAAACCTGTGTTAACCTGGACTTTTGAAGCCCAGTGTGTGTTTCAGTTTCACCCATCCATCTGTCAGTTCTCCAGTTCATCCATCAGTTCACCTAAACACCCAGTAGGCTGCATACTATATTATATACTCTTATATTATAGTTACCAAGTGGCCCTAACCTATATTTGAAATATTCCTGTTTGGTTGCAGTGTGCTGCAGTTTGACAACAGAGGGCAGCAAAGGTCTGTCAGTGGGATGCTGTTTTCAGGGGATGTTGAATTAAACTAAACAGCAAACAAAAAACTTATTATCAAACCACTTTAATTTACATTTAAATAGAGATTTTAGACTTACTGAGTAACATATTAAACCTTTTCCACATTAGATTAGATTTAGATTAGATTAGATTCAACTTTATTGTCATTGCACAAGTACAGGTACAAGGCAACGAAATGCAGTTAGCATCTAACCAGAAGTACAAACAGTAAAGTGCAGAGTAATGTGCATATATACAAAAATATGTAAAAACAAAAAGAAGAAAAAAGTATAATAATAATAATAACATTATATATATATATATATATATATATATATATATATATATATATATATATATGAATATGCTGGTGGGATATTTACATTATGAACAGTATTAACAGAATGAGCGGAGTGAGGTGAATACATAATGTGAATATTAAACCCTAAAAGAGAAACCTCAAGGCCAGCCAGAGGACATAAGATGCAGTTTGTTGCTTACACCTGTATGAACAACATGTTGTTGGTCACAGTAACACTGTTTGTTGTAAACTAGCTGCAACTATGTACAACAGAAAAAAACGTTTTTAAGTAAAGTGCACCATCATCATTCTGCCAAAAACAAAACAAACCATTGTGCTCTTGTGGACCTGATGTGAATCTGGATTTAGGATGGAGTATCTTAATATTTTTCCTCATCTACAGAAACACTGGAAGTAGGCTGAAGGTCACCTTAATATCAAAAGCTAAAGATCCGGTTTTTCTGGAAGAAAACTTCAGTATTACATTTTGTGTGTTAAATGTGCAACAAGCGATCAAACACTGACGCATCACCACTGCGCCAAAACGGACAGTAGGGCAAATCCACCTGCTCCACACAAAGAGCAGTGTCAACTGCGCACATCTGGAATAACTTCAGGATTATTGTAGACTAATTATGAGCAAAGAAAAAATAATCTCTCGCACAATATTCAGGATTGAATCTCACAGACACTCTGATACTGACGCATGTGGAACTAAAGAGTCCGGATGTTGCCATCGGGCATTAATTAGTGATTGGGTTGGTCCCCCTATATAAAGGAAACGCGCCCACTGCTCTGCTCTGTCTCCATACAAGCCAAGATGAGCTACGGATCTGAAGTCTTTTCCTCCTCCTCCTACAGGAAGATTTTCGGGGATTCTCCCCGCTATGCATCCTCTCCATCCCGGTCTACGGTGAACGTGTCCTCACGGGGAGGCTACCGGTCCTCCTCTCTATCCCGTAGCAACGTTTCATCCCTGGGCTCGTACAACAGAAAGTCCGGCCGCTCCTACTCGTCCATGCCACCGGAGACCTTCGACCTGACACAGAGCAGCGCCCTCAACAATGAGTTCAAAATCGTCCGCACCAATGAGAAGGAACAAATGCAGGGTCTTAATGACCGCTTTGCAATGTTCATCGACAAAGTGCGCAACTTGGAGCAGCACAACAAAGTGCTGGAGACGGAGTTGTCCGCGCTGCGCCAGCGGCACACCGAACCGTCCCGCCTGGCCGAGCTTTACCAGCAAGAGATCCGCGAACTGCGCTCCCAGCTCGAGGAACTGAACGGGGAGAAGTCCCAGTTCATGATCGAGAGGGATAGTATTGAAGACGACCTGCAGAAGCTCAGGGGGAAATACGAGGAGGAGTACCGTGCCCGAGAGGAGGCGGAGGCCACCCTCAAGGCTTTTAAGAAAGATGTGGACGACGCCACCATGGTGCGCCTGGACCTGGAGAAGAAGGTGGAATCTCTGCTGGACGAGATCAGCTTCCTCAGGAAGGTGCACGAGGAGGAGGTGGCCGAGCTGATGGACATGATCCAAGCTGCCCAGGTGTCTGTGGAGATGGAGGTGTCCAAGCCGGACCTCACCTCCGCCCTCAAGGAGATTCGAGGCCAGTACGAGTCCATGGCGTCCAAGAACCTGCAGTCCGCCGAGGAGTGGTACAAGACCAAGTTCGCCGACTTGT